TTGGAGGCCCAGGCGAAAGCCGAATCCAAAGTAGAAAGAAATTTCAGGTTGGAGGCCCAACTGAGAGCCCAATTAAGAGGGATATGCAATTCCAGGCTGGAGGCCCAGGCGAATGCCCAATTAAAAGGGATGTGCAAGTTCATATTTTTAAACCACAGATACCATAGACACGATCACGAAAATATATCGACAAGCATAGAAATGCTGCATCTGATCGTGCATACTTTGAAACTTAGCCCAACTGAGAGCATGGGCGTGCACAATCTTATAAATCTGCTGTTCCTATACAGGCTGAATCCATGCATATTGGATGACCTCTCTAAAAAAGCATACATAGAGATATACATGAAATCCGCGTCAGCACATATATTAATGCCGACGTCTTTCGCCTATAACCGGAAATCCATCATGCTGTATCTGACCTCGATTTTTAACATAGACAGTATGATGTCTACCCTGAACCCATGCATGCTTTCTGACCAAACAGACATTTTAATACGTCTGGTTTTTGGCCTTTACAGAAATCTGCGTAGAATCCACCCAGACATTGCAGAGTTCGACAAGAACCCACTTGCAGAAATTTATAGAATCATCCATCTTATTCTTTCAGACTTCTATAATTTGGTTTATAATTACAATAGAACCATAAGATTTAAAGGAAGATACAGATTTTTTTCGCTGAAGTACCTAAAGTACGTTTTTGCTAGTTCCGCCAATCCCCATGCCCGGAATCCTTCGGTATTCGATAAGATAAACGAAGTGGCTATGGATGTAAGCCAAAAAAAGAGAGTAACGCGTATATTTGCTATAAAGCTAGACTATATATACCCAAACATTGCTCATGTCTTATTCACATAGGCATTGGGCCTGCAAACACTGGGTGAGCATGTCCACAGAGCCAGACCTGGGCTACTCTAGCAATATACATTGCTCCGCGGGTCTCTTGCATCACAAAGCATTCTGTGAAGCCAAATAAAACCATCTTAAACTTTTTTCGTTTTACCCTCCGGGCCAAAATACTTCTAGCAGCAATGCATCATTAGACTTCGTGTTTTTTAACAAATTCTTTTCTTGTGCATTGGCTCTTGTAAAACACGCCGCAGGAATGCCCTTCAACTGCATCTTTGTGCTGTGATATAAGCATGCCGCTTGTATGAAATTGCATGCCTATTTATTGCTAGCTAAAGTGCAGCGGCTTGATTTTCCACAAAAGCACAGGCACGTACAGAATGTGTGCAAAGCTCTTAATGCTATGGAAACAAAAACCTCTTGGCGTACAAAGAGCAGGGTTTGGCCAGAAAGTGTGGTTTAATTTCAAGCGGGCAGGCACTGAAAAATCACTGACCCTGAGCCATAATGCAAAAAGTTTTTTGCATTTTTATGAACAAGCATTTTTTGATCAGCATTGTGCTAGCCATTGGGGCAAGTGCTCGGCTGTCTCTTGATATGATAAAGGAGCTGCAGAGCATCAAAATCCAAACGCTGGACGGGCACATTATTATAAACCACAAAGGCCCCTTGAATATGCTTCGCGGATACATCTATCATCATCAAGGCCTTATGCACAAAAAGCGGTTCTTTTCATCGGAAATCGAAACTAGCTACAGCTTTCTTCTAAACAAAGGTGCTAAAGACGAGGCGGACTCATACCGGTATAAAAGAAAGCCCGTCTGTGACAAGCCGTATGGCGCTGAGGCGGGCAGAGGCATTTCCGACCCAGAACAGCAAAGCAGCGTTGAGTATCACACCGCTCTTATTAGGATGTTCCCTTCGCAGAACAGCAGCCTCTCCATTGAAGGCGGGAGAGCCGATGTATTCACGCGGTTTATTCGGTCTACCATCGCGCAGAACCAGGTGCCCGGCCTTCTTGCAGCCCTGATTTTGCTCAGCGAAGGCGTTGACGTGGACATTGAGTGCATAGAAGACGAGATAGTTGTAAACAGGCGCCTTCTCGCGCATGCGGTGGTTGATAGCAGTATTGCGTTTAAAATGCCCGTCAACATTGAAGTGCATAGTGAAAAGAGCCAGAAATCAAAAAAAGTCAGACAGAAAGAGGCCATTTCTGTTATAAACTTCTTCAAGGCCAGCCGCCTGTCTGAGCCGCTTCCCTCAAGACTGGGCGCGTTTATGACGGGGAAGTTTCTAAACAGCCCGCAGTTTTTGATTCAAGCATACTTGTTTGAGTTTTTAGACAGCGTGAAAGGCGCGCATGATGTTGTTTTTTGCGTGTACAAAATGCTTCATAGCATGCTGGGCCAAAATGGATGGACCCAAGCACGAGAGGAAAACGATAGAAGCGTGCGCAGAGTTCTTGACAGATGCTTCATGCCGGACTGTTTTCTTGGCAACGCATTGAGATACATTGGCATATGCGACTTCATACAGGGGAACGAAATGGGCCGCAAGCCCTTTCCATTCACAGAAAATTTTTGCTTGCCCGTGTTTACGCAGATTCCGCCATACAGCAGGAAAGAAAAAAGCTTTTGCGTGGACCATTCCAAAGACTTTAGCAACTGCGCAGAGACAGGCCTATACGCGCTTTTCTGCGCGATTGCATACGACCCTACAAAGGGAGAATATCGCCTAGACGCAATACCAAGGGCGTCAGAAAGCTTGAGAGCATTCTTCGTGAAGCACCCAAGGCCAGCGGTGTTTACGAGCTTGGAAATTCATAAGGACTGGAGCAGGGTTGTCTCTGATCTGAAGTGCGCCCGAATTGTGTACAATAAAGGCAGAAACGAGCTCCGGAGCGGGGTTTTGAACTTTCTACTGGTTATAGCGCAGATAACAGGCCGGCTTGGCACCGAAGAGCAACCGATATACGAGCTTCTATCTGCAATAAAAAGCAAGGACGAGCTCTCTGCCGCTGCGCAGAAAAAGGCAAAAATATACACAGAGCAAACCCTTAGGCTGATTTCTACCAACCCCCAGCTAACTATATCCTGCTCTAATCTCAGAATAGAGTCGCCTATTGGAAAAGCCCCAGACCTGTACGGAGAAATTTCCTTCACGGTTGCGGCCGGCTCTAGCCAGCCCGGCTTTGGGATGGATTTGATAGTGCGCCCTGGGCATACATCTCTCAAAATTCCAGGCAGCCCCTCCAATCACATTACACCGGAAAGAATGCAAGCTTTGGAAAACATATATATGCGCTATGCAAACAAAAACACCTTTATTGGTTGTCTTTTTTCTTACCACATTGGAAATTACACCTCTTGGGGGAGCAACAGTGTAAAGTTCACTGAAAAAGAGATAGATCGAGCAGCAACCCAAATTCTGGAGTCTCAAGATGCAAGTGTCAACAAGGCCTTGCTGATAAGAGGGCTCCACAGGTTCGAAATCAAGTGCCTGGTTGTGGAAAGAGTGTGCTTTCTTCTGAAGTCTAGACGTGGCGAGCTTTCTACCAAGGAGCCGCTGGCCCGCTTTATATCCAACATAATTGGAAGTACGCCGCTCAACGACCAGCACGTGCAGAAGTACATTTTGAACTCGCTCTTTTTCACAAACGAGCTGAAAAACCTCTGCCCAACCGTGCAGCTGTCTGAGTCCAGCTGGCAATGCTTCTTCATGCAGTCTGTCAGAACCGGGTACATTCTTGATTATTCATCGTATGCCGAGTTTGTCCCTCTTCTTATGAGCTACATAAGAATGTATTCTCGCGTGGCAAATGAGCCTTTTTCTAAGTGCACTATTCTTTACGGAGGCTACTGCACAGGGTGCCTGTTCTTTAATTTGACTATGAACAACCGGACGGCCTATATAAAGGAAGTGGCAGACCTTCTTCTGTCCGAGCGCAGTGAAGTGGGATATCATATGAAACGGACTCTGGACTGCATCTGGTTTATCCATGCATGCAGCAAAAAAAGAGACGCCACGCGCTTGATTGAAGAACTGTACGACTCAATTGACGAGGATATTTCATACAATAGAAACTATCCATTTTCCTTGGCTTTTATCAAATACAAGCAATCAACTATCTCCACGCTGGAGGAAATGAAGGGCGAACTATGCAAGCGCAAGGGCGGCATAGGTAAGTTTGAGCATATTATGGAAATGTTTACAGGGCTTACCGAGCGCGAGTGGTGCCTTTAACACACCAGCAGCATTTAGCAGGCTATATTATCAAGAAGAGCTATGTCCAAAAAGCTTTGCAACTGCTACTGGATTTCCTACACTCTGACGCTGCGCCATGCTATTTCAAGCGCCGGCTATGCAAATAATACATATCCAGGCACATTTTGTTTTTTTCTTTTGCAAAGGCTCTGACTGAATGCGTTTTTCCTTTTACTGTTTCTGAAATAAACCCAGACTCTATAAAACACACTCCAGGCGCTTCTTACGCAGGCCCTCTATGAAGAATGCGGACTGCCCGGGTGCAAGCTATTTCTTTAAAGTGTGTCTTCTGTGGGCTTTCTTGAAGCTTAAGCCCTTCAGACGCAGCTTTAGACGTTTGGGAATGTGGTTGGCTTGGTGGACTCAAAAAGCTATAGAGGAGTCCATTTCTCGTTGGCCAACTTAGATTTTTGCATATGCATGCTCGCCAAAAAGAATGTTTCCGCTAACCATGTAAGCCTGCACTTGCCCTGGGCGTTGATGTCGAAAGAACATGCTTCTAAGACCACATATTATTTTGTCCATTTATTTCTCTAACATTCTCCTCAATGTCTATTTACTGCAATTTTCTATTTTGTAGAAACTTAGAGATGGCGCTCTCCCTTCAAAGTTGCCTCCGGCCATGGAGACTTGGAAGCCTCTACTTTTTATTTAATACATCTTTTGCAGCAGTTCCTTTCCCATAGGAAGCTTGGCGGTGGCTTGCTTAGGTGATAGCCGATTCTTGGACTGCTCCTTTAAAGTGGGCTCTAGTGCTACTTTTTCGTTTTTTGCGTCTTTGCGTCTTTCTTCTTTTTATCGTCTACTTTTGAGCCATCGTCTTTCTTCTTTTTTTCGTCTACTTTCAAGCTAGCATCTGCTTTTGAGCTAGATTCAGTGGCTTCCATTTCATACGAGTTACTAGCAGACATCGAGCTGATCTCTGCTGTATGCAAACCTCCAACTTCAAGTGTGGGGTCGGTCGCTGGAAGCAGGGTACCAAGGACTATTGCATCATTTGATACGGCATTGTTCTCTTCTGAACCGGGCGTGCCTCCTATAGACCAGCTGTTTCCAGATTTTATTCTAGTCTGGTACACCCACACTGAAGTAACAACTGCAAGCAGGAAAAGAGCTACAAATATAGTTGAAAAAATGAAAATGTGTTTTTTGAATGCGGATTCTGCCATGGTTAGATACTTTGCACATTGCAGCGCTACTTATATCTTTAAAATCAATGCATTTCTGCAAAATGATAAGCCCTGGCGCTCGAAACCAATTGCCTTTTTAGATTTCTTTGATTCTAGAGGCTTTTTCCTGTTCTATTTTCAAAATAAGCAGCACCAAAAACCAATTATATGCTATAGAATTTGAGCACAGCTTTAGACTACTCCTTTTTGAAAAAGCCTTTTCTGCAGCCTTTTTTCCTCCGCTAAGCACAAAAGGCTGCAGAAAATGGGCGCATGGCTAGCCCAAGCTCATTTAGTTGGCCACAGAGATCATGTTGATTCGGTTGCAGCCAGTATTTTATATTTCTTAAATATGCGCGCCTTTTGCGGTTTAATGGATAAAACTGCATAGCCCAGATGTATAGCAATGTGGATTGCGCCAATGTACACAGTATAGACTGATGTGCGCGCTGGCTAGCCTGCAGAACATGCACACAACCGCGGCTAAGTATGCGCATTTTATCCTATTTTCAAATGTGTTTCGTGCTGGGTACATGGTTCTTTTAGAAACCGCATTCGGGGTTTCCAAGCAGCAGCTTGCCTATAGTAGCTTTGAGGGCTCGGTAAATCAGCTACTGCAGGCGATAGACGAATGCACCGCTCCTGCAGTTTTCTACTTAACCATGAGTTCGCACACTGTGCCAACCTCTTTAAAAACGGCCAATGCTCTTTGGTTTTCTTCCAAGGCTTTCCGCAGCAGCCCTGAAAGCATAAATTTAATAGGATGCGCGGAAGGCTGCAATTCTCCACGGAACTTGCAATGAGGAGCTTTTTATAGAAAAGCTGAAAAAATAGTAGGCGTTTACCCGCTCTATTCCTACTCAATTCTTGAAGACATGAATCCAAGAAAATTAGTCTCAGTGAAGAAGCTTCATGCAGAGAAGTGCCAATCAGGCACACCCATAAGGAAGTGGCTGTGGCAGGAAATACTGGTCTGCGTTTATATAAAATATTGCAGCTGCAAATGTTAAAAGAATCATTATAGACAGAAGGCTGTATGCCTCTATTAAAAGAAACTCAATTTCTGCATGCTGCATGTGCCCAGGAGTTTTTGAGTGGCAAAATGCACACCTTGAAGGGCAGATTATACAGCACACACTACTCGGAAGCATAAGCGAGGACTTCTGCCCAAACGCCCCAAATAACTTTGTGCTGCTTAACATTGATAAGTATTCGTGCCACTTGTTTGCTGAAAACCAGTGTTTTTCTAGCTTTTTGTGCCTGGCAGCCCATACCAAAGAGGTTTTCATGAGCGAAAAAGGCAGGGCCAAAAAAGCATGGACTCTATACTATTATAGCTTTGGTGTGCCTGCAACAACAAGCTATAGCTGTGTTTCTGAGGCCACACTTACAAATCACATCAATGATATAAACATGGCATTGCATATCCAGTCACCTTGAAACTGCGAGCGTTATAATTTTTCCAGCAAATGCATATCTCTAAAATGAAAATGTGTACAGTTTTTTTAGTCCTTTGAATTTATTTATATTTGGGTACTTTTTTGCTATGTGTATATGTATAAGTGTATGTATATGTATACGTGTATATATGTGTATGTATATGTGTGTCGTCAATCCGGGTTTCATGGTGACGATGGTCTAAAGCAAGCGTCACTAAAGATTTATTAATCTTTGGAGAATCCCGGCGGTCAACCTTAGCTAGACTTGAATTTTTAATATTCGAATTTCTTGCCATTTTCTTCTGTTCTCTAAAATTAAAGTCGTATTGCGTATTTATGCTTGTAAACGATCACTATTTATTTTTTTTTGCTTCAGATCATGTAAAATTATATCAAGTTGATCGTGCCGTCTCCGACTTTGTGGGAATTCCAATAATTCACCACAATGTGTATATGTATATGTGTAAGTGGATAATAATAGAGTATAGATAGTTTGCTGGACTGAGTGGACAATTAAATTGCGCATTTAGACCCTCCGAAAGACCGTTCCAACGCTGCTTTAATTTAATTGCCTAGTCACCCATAGCATGCCATGTGCATTCGTGTGGATTGTGGAGACACATGCCAAGTGGAAAATATGCACAGGCGCCGGATACTACAAGAAACCATATATAGAAGCCCTTCATATGACTTTAAATATGGTTTAAAAGCATTTATAACTTCTAAGACATAAAAAAATCTCCCAACAGCTGGCAGATGGAGGCTTTGGTCTAAACTGACCTGCATTTATTGGTGTGGGTTCTAAAAGTTGGAATCTTAGAGATTTTCCTCAAGCCTTGAAGAAATTATAAACCTTATCATACTTATAACTGACAAGCCGTTGGTTAAAAAGCTTCAAATGCCTGGGCGGTTTAAACAAATCCGCCCCCTTTCTTTCCTGCAGCCCTTTTTTGTGCGCACGCATATATGAGAGAACATACTCCCTCTGCATGGAATATATATCCTTTAAAAGTGAAGGCACCTTCTTGGGAATGCAAAATATATAGTCATACATGGCACCTGCAATTTCTGGCTCGTTTTTCATATGCTCGCATGCAAATGAAAGCCAGACTAGATTAAACAATGAATAAAGGGCGCATTCTTCTCTTCTGCGAAACTGGTTCAAGGTTGGGAACCGACGGTTTATGCAGGTGGCTCCATTCATAAACAGGCGGGTGAAGATCTTCTTCATGCTACAAAAGTAGAGAATAGAGCGTTCTTTGCAGAATGAGGAGTTCTCTACTTTCTTCACAGCATTTTTCATCATAGACCAAAGAGCATGCCATAGACACTTGTTTAAAGCAAAGTCCACAACCCCCTCAATCAGTTCAGAGTCATCAAACAAATCGCCGAACTCCGCTTCAGAGGCCTTTAGCTTTTTCGGTGCCAAACAATAGGTGTTTGTGTATATAAAAGCAGGAAGGAGCATTTTCTGGACCTGCGTGTTGTCCAGCCGCGCACTCCCTAGCACATTTAAAGCAAACCGAAAAAGTCGGTCTGTACGCACGCCTGGGTTGTCGCTTCCCTGCCAGCAGTTTATGCTGTAGAATACAGAGAAGTCCACAAGCACTTTCTTGTATTTTAAGCCCTCTATTTTCTTTAAAACAAGAATTCGGTTTACGCCCTCTTGCAAAGAGGAATGCTGGGATTCTTTGACCGCATTCATTATAGAATTTTCCATGCACGCGTCGTCTGTTTTTCCAGCTCTCTCTGCATAGTTCCAGAATAAAAACCCTAAAAAGGTGTCTTGTCCCTTGCAGTCCTGCGCCATTTTTTGGAGCCTAGACAAGGAGGGTTCTGGAAGCGTGGTTTCCCGTTGTATAAACACGCCGTAAGCACGCTGCATTTCGATTTTTATCGCAAAAACTTCTTTCTGCGAGTTTGCATTGCATTTTAAATGAATTTCGCCATAAACGTCGCACAGCCCATTCTTTTCCGTGCTTTTTGCAAAGTCCATGCATTCTACCTCTATTTCTTTGTTGACAAGAAGTGACCCGAGCAGAGAGGCCACGTATGTGCGCAGCCTCAAGTAAAACCCCTGGGTGGGCTCTTCTTCTGTCTTTAGGCCATCCATAAATCTAAGGATGCTGCTCTTTTCGGCATCGCCCTTGCCTGTTATTTCAGAAATAACCAGCAGCATGTTTAGCACTCCTGGGGAAAGCTGGTTCTTGCTTTCTCGCACATATCTGATGTCCGGGCTGGAAAGGCCAGATACCACTTTATTCCATGCCTTGTGAGTGTGAAGGTCAACAACCTCGGGTGGGCGCAGACTGCGCTTAGTGAAAAAATCTTTTAAGTTCTTGGTTGAGCCAGCGTCTGGAAGCCCCTCTAGAACGCATTTTTCTGCGGCTCGGTCGTACAGAAGACAGCACATAAGAGTGTACAAAGCGCTTTCGGTGTGGTTGCAGAAAAAGTCGGAGTACTCTGCAGGTGGAGATACCTCTATTTGCTGGGTATATTCTGGGATTCTTCTGTATGCAGGCAGCTGGTTGAAGTCAGTGAACGGGAAAGAGCTCACTCCCTCCACACATTCTTTGATTTTCTTGAGCGCGTGCAGCCCACTATTTTCTCTTGTACTAATGGAAGAAACAAACAGCCTGCTGCATGCATAATTTGCCCGTTTTAAACGGAAATGCTCTCCTTTTTCCCCTGACTCCTTCGAAATAACATTGGATAGGATTTCATACACGCTTTCAATGACATCCTTTGCGTCTTGCGTGCTTTCTATGTATTCATAGATGTATGTTTGTATAAGGAACCGCGAGGTGCTTAGAAATGTTCCTTTAGTGTACTGTTCGAAGCTATCTGCCAGTTTCTTTTCTTGAAGAGATTCCCTGAAGAAAAATAAGACTTTGCTAATCTCATTTTTTGCCTTGAACCTTACTTTCCGGTCAGTCCTGCTGAAAGAAGCATCTGACTCATCTGTCTTTAATGAGAACACGGCTGTGCCGTCTTCTTGGTAGAGAGCAATTTCATCATCTGTGTCCTTGATGTCCAAGAACACCCCTTCACTTAGAAGGCAAAGCGATGCAAGAAACTTGTGCACAGACTTCTGGTTTGGCACTGCGCGAAGAAGGTTGGTAAATGAGCTTAAATCTTCAGAGTCGATGGACAAGACTTGATTTTCCGAAGGAAACATTTCAATAAGGCTTGCATGATACATGAAGTTGCGTATTAGGGAAAAAGCTTCGCCCTCCGAATCCGAATAGGCCTGGTCGTGCGGAGCGTTTTTTGTGTGCATAAACCGGCTTTGGGCGCTGTCTTCGCCTTCTTGGTTGGCGGATAGGCTGTGCAGCACGTTTATTTCTGAAGAAAAGTACCGCTTGTTGTGCATATGTCCATTTTTAGAGTGCATGTACGCATGCAAAAAATTAAGCAATCCATCTGGGTTTACATAGACGCTTCCATTGCTGCCTAATATTTCAAAAACCTCAAGCTCTTCCAGCTGCCTAAGAGACAGCTTTGCACATGCAAAGCAAATAAGAAGCAGCTCTATAATTATATGGGTGCGCATACGCATAAGAACAAAAAGTAGAAAATAAAATATTCCCTTGAAAAAGATATGACAGCTGTTCGAGTATATGTGTAGTTGCATAATCACGTCGACCTATTTTTGCAAAAACATACGCTAGCAAAAGCATCTTTCTGATATTTTTAAGAAATGATAAACAGAAGACTGGCCTCAAAAGGCGGGGGGATACGGTGCGCTTCTACTTCCATATGCAGAAAGCATCGAGGAATTTCCTGTGCAAGAGCCGGATCAGCACAAAACATTACACATTGTGCAGCAGTGTTTGGCCTGCTAGGGTTTAATGTGAAGCAAACGCCTTTATGTCATGTGAAAGTGGGTGCCAGACACTTGTGCATCTGTGTGCTTTTGACAGAAAAATTGTAGTGGGGGGAGACAGAGGGAGCGGGGTGTTTAATTAAAAATGCATGAATGCGTCAGTGGAGTGACGATAACACGGCAATTGCCAATGCGTTACCGTCTTATGCGGATTTCCATTCAGAGCATGATGGATTGGACTTCTACATAGACATATTTAAATCTGTTGGCTCTTGTTTATATACAAGCCTACTGGAGCATGCACTTCTAGAGCAGGCTGTGTTTGTGCATAGGGCAGGGTTTTAACCGCACAAAAAAGCTAGAGTGTTCATGATAAAAAATGTTTTGGGGTTGGTGCTAGTATTCTATGTATGCTTTTGTACAAGATAAAATAAAATCTGCGCCCCTCGAAAATGTTCATTTTCCAAGGCATTCAAGTACACAAGAATGGCGTCTTTCTTAAAGCATGCGCTGTGTCTAGGGTGTAAACAAAGTGTTGCTCAGTTCCTGTAGTTTGTTGCTGCATATATAGCCAGCTAGAAACTGCGAGATTTATCATTTTTCCAGCAAAAGCATATCTCTAAAATGAAAATGTGTACAGTTTGTTTTTTAGTCCTTTGAATTTATTTATATTTAGGTACTTATTTGCTATGTGTATATGTATAAGTGTATGTACAGGTATAAGTGTATGTATATGTGCAAGTGTATGTGGATAATAATAGGATATAGATAGTTCGCTGGACTGAGTTTTTTGTTGTTGATTGTTGAAAGCTTACTGCGGGTGCCAGCAAGGAGCGCGAAGCTTGGGTTAGAAGCCAAGCTGCCACAGATACACATCCCAGAATCGAGCTAGAAAGATATCCGCCGAAGAGTTTAACCTACCT